CGAGAGGGGGGTGGCGTGTTTACGTGCCCTCGCGATGCGGACGAATGCGATTTTCTTGGAATTTTGATCCATAACTTGGAACAAGGGGCCGTAAAGAGGGCTGCCTAGCCATTAAAATTACAGGTTTAATTTTCATGAAAATAACGTAATGGATCTTAGTGGTCCTAAAAAGAGCCTCTTTGTATTTAAATAAAAAACATTTTTTAAATTACTCTTTTGATTTTGTGGTGAAATATATGGTGCATTCGAGTCATGTCGGAAAGATCGTACTTTAGGAGTTGAACGCACATTAACGCCACCACAATATCATAATCATGAATGGGAAACTCTTTTCTTTGAGCCCGAGTTTACCGAGTGACAGTAAATTTATTTTATATATATATATACATACAGTAGTCAACATTTGAAGTGGATCAAAAAAGTTCATCAAAGTTGTCCTAGGACAAGAACGCATTTCGGTTTTAGGTTTAAGGACAACTTTGATGAAAGGTTTTGATCCACTTCAAATGTTGACTAATATATATATATATATATATCTACAATATAACTAACTAAAATAAATATAGTATTTTGTAATATGTATAGGAAATATAGTATTGTTCAATTATGATTGTGTATATATATATATATATATATATATATATACACACACACACAATTAAGGTTACACTTTCATAAATATAATAAAAAAAGCAAAAATACACCTGTTACACATTTGTATTCATCATTTTATAGAATTAAAAAACATTGCTGTATTTTTTGTAAAAAAAAGGATAACGACATCTTGCTCTGACTAAAGAGATGTGAACACACCTGATGCCGTATTTATGACTTTCCGACTAGTAAACAAACCTCCCAGGAGGACTTAAACGCACCAATAACTCCAACATGTCATTGTGAAATGTATGTGTAAATGATTCATAACATTCATTTTGAATCCAAAACTATACAAAATGGAGCTAATAGAGCTTATCGTACATCTAAAGCTAATAATAGAACAAGAGAGGAATACATGCCTCCTGCTCCAAGGAACCTCTTCCCTTCCCTGACATGAGGATGCTTGTCTTCCAGGTGACGGTCCGGCCAGATGAGCGTCTCGGCAGAAAACACAACTCTGTGCTTGGCCTGCTGAAACTTCTTCAGCAGCTCTCTCGGACCAGAAGAAAAGATCACGTCATAGCTGTGGAAAGCCCAAGCATAAACAATCGTTACTGTCAATGATCAACACTGATAGCGGAAACGGTACAGACAAATCATTCCAGGCATGATTATGATGGACATAACTACCTATCCACTAAAAGAATGACTCTGTTCTCGTCCTGTATGTCCTCCAGAGCAGACTTCAGCAGGCGCACCTTCTGCCCTCCACCTGGAGGAGACATGTAATCTCCACCTTTCCATGTTTCACCCCTCCCGAGAACCTAAAAAACGGCAGAGGAATGTCAGGCATCAGTCTGTGGATAATAACCTGTGAACTGTGTTATATTGGGGGCATATAACAAAAATGTCAAGGTCATATTTAACCCTGATATCAAGAGAAAAACACAAAGATGTAATTTTCATTAAGAACAAAAAGTGACAGGATGATGCTAATTAATAAAATACTACAAAATTACATGCAATATATTTATATACATCAGAATAAATTAAAGGTAAAATAGTAATGATTTATGCATTACGATTTAAACAGTATATAATTATGTTTTTGTGCATTATAGCAAGGATGAGAATGATATTTTTGGCATGTTTAGCATACAGGACGATGATGCATCAACCAATGTGTTATTATAGGAAATAAATAGATTTTTCTAAGTGTCTTTATCTACTATTCTAATTAAAATTGTATTTTGACAATTTAGTCGAATAATTGAATAACCGATGACAGACGAAGCAGAATCCCAGTAAAAAAGATTAATTTAAAAGGTAAATTTATGCTATGACTTTTATACAGGCATAGGCTATTTACATATTTAATTGCCCATATTTTAATTGAAGATTAGTCATAAAAGCACCACTAATTTCACTCAATTAGCCTATAAGTTTCAATGAATGCGAAGAGATACTGAATAATAACCCCATTAATTACAATAAGTATTTCATTTAAAAATAATAACACTACTACCAACATGCCACTTGGGTCCTTCTGTGCCAACTCTGGGGCCCATTTTACCCAAGGGTCTCTTGAGCTAAAAAACTATAGCTTTCACTGCACAAATCCAAAAAGCATTGATGTGTCCACAAATCATTCCCAAATAGACACAAAAACTTTAATATTCAATATAATATGATGCCATAGATGATTCTTTTCTAGAGAAACAAAACTAGATTAACCTCAAAACTGTTTCGACTGACTTAAATCTCACAAATGACTAAATTCATCAGAAGTGTTTAGATGAGATTTTGTGCCTTCTATAGCTAGTCAAGAGAAAAAAAATCGATCTGAATTCTAACCTGATGACTTCATAGAAAACCCTAACGTTGCACTTTATTAACATACTTATTTCAAACCAGTGACTGTAGAATAACCGCCTCACCTTGATGGTGTAATTGAAGTGCTTTGCGGATCTCAAGAAGCGCCTGAAGCCATCAGTCTCCTGCGTGGCTACAGTCAGCACGAGAAGATCTCCTGAAAACACACAACAGCATGAACACACAGAAACGTGCAGCTCCTCTGTCTACGTGCTGGAAGAGCACATCCTAATGGGAATCCCACATCCGCTGCTCTCTTGTGAGGATCAGACAGGAACTCCAGGCACAGCTGCAATCTTAAAGGGATAGTTCACCCAAAAATGAAAATGTGATGTTTATCTGCTTACCCCCAGGGCATCCAAGATGTAGGTGACTCGTATACATTATTCGCCTGGCGCAAGAAAGCTAATTCTGCTGCAAAAGTGGTATCTCTTTAGCCGACACTAAGGCGTTTTCTATCATGTGTAATGCACTGTGCTTTATTTATTTTTCTTGCGCAGTCTAGGTAACCCTTACGAAAAAGAAGTTTATTCAAGTGTTCTATTAGTATACTTCTTTTAAACTACAAATAGGAAAGTATACTTTTAGTCTACTTTAGTATAAGTTCACTTTTAGTATAGTTGCAGTACAAACTAAACACATTAGATGTAAACTAGTTGTGTACTCAAAGTTTACTACTGTTATACTTAAAGTATACTTTTATATACTAGAAAGTGGGCCAATTTAGTCCCAAGGAGTATTGAAATAGTACACTTACAAGTATACTACTAGTACACTGATATTTGTATACTTACTACATAAAGTATACTTAAAAATATACTTGAACTTTACTTAAGTATACTTACTAAAATAAACTTGAAGTATACTACTTTTTGGTAAGGGAACCTTGAATATATCTGGCTCCGAGAAAACGAGCGTAGCAACGATGTAACAAAGTATTTTGTTGCACTCACATTTCGCAATTTTTGTTTTTTTGTTGCTCTTATTTACATTTTGAGAAATGTGAGAACTTTTTGCATTGTTTTAGTGTAATTTGCTGTGGTTTATCATCATAAACTGAGCTGATCTGCACTGATCTGTGTGAAGAAGGGGTCCACGTCAGCGGTGAGTCTGGAGAACTTTATCTATGCAAACAATCCTGTTCACACTGGGATCAGCTGAAATCATTGCCTTACCCTCGGGGATCGAGCCCTGCTGATTACAGGCGAGCGGAGAAAAGGACGCAAACAAACAGGCGAGGACGACCAGCACTCCTCTCATCTTCGGACCCGTTATTCTTCTTCAGTCCTCCACAGTAACGGCGGCTGATGAAATAAGGCCTTTCCTCGAGAGAGAGTTAGTTCTGCATTCCCGAGCAAACACAGCCTGCCCACTGCTGCCTTTCTCCACCCCTCGGTTTCAGCAGAAGAAGAGGAGCAGCTCAGTTTGATATTAACTGGAGTTCAAAGCGTCACAACTAGCCTTGTCTCAATAAATGTATAAAATTATATGGAGAAAAAAAAGCATGAATAAAACCACTTGTTTTACTCTAATTAATATTGCTGATGGTATGTTAAAGTTTTGTCTTCAAAAAAAAAAAACTAGGCAAAACAGTTTGTTGAACACATGTTGTCATCCTGTGTAAGGCAAACTGTCACAATGGAATGTGAAATTAGATAGGCTTTTTAGCAAAAGTAAATTAAAACACAATATTTGAATATAGGCTAGTCACGAAATCTAATATATACATTTTTTAACCTTTTAATTATAAACATTTATAACCTTCCAGATGAAATCTTTATACAGTTAACTCTTGTCTGTACAGTGGGCTACAAATTGAATATGAATGTATTGCCGAAATGTACAGTATTACTAAATAGGAAAACAAATTAAGTCAGACTAATTAATAATAATAATAATGAAATATAAATTATATATACATTTATATTCATGTATTTAATTGACACTTTTATCCAAAGTGACTTACAAAAGAAGAACAAAAGTGATCCGTCACAGAGCCAACAATATGGTTTATTAGGCAACTAGAGAAAGCGATCTATTTATTTATTTTTTTTCAGAAATCATTTGAATATATTAAGTGCATTTATCAAATGTAAAAAAAAAATCGATAATCATATTTTATTATAAGTTATACAAGTATTGGTAGGCCTGTCAAAAAATATGCAGCATTTATTTATTTATTTATTTAATGCACATATAAAATATGTTGGTTACCCAATATAATTAAATACCAACACACTTATTTATTTATTTATTTATCTATTTATTTAAAAAAATAATAATAAATATATATTTTTTCCATTATATTTAAAACAACATATCTAATCTATTAGTTCCATAGACTAAAAACAGCAAAGACAGCAGTCTTCACCGTTTCGACGTTGCCAGGTCAGTCTTATATACTGGTCCAGGATCAGTTTTGTCTTCCACTGCTGCTGCGTTGCAGTGACGTTAAACACGCTGCTAAGGGCTGATCCTAGAACAGCGACTTCAAGCGCTTTAGTCCACAGCTCGAACTACGACAGGTCTTCGACACTTCCGGTGATTTTACGGCAGCCTGCTGGTCTCCTTCCTTCCACGAACAGAGGTGTCAGCTGGCTGAGAGAGACATGTACACACAGCAAATAAAACAGACAAGCGACCGTCGAAATAAACTCTAGCAGGAACACGCGGCTACGCGACGCAGTAAATGCGGAAGAGTGAACGCGCCATGTGGGTGAGCAGAAATGTGTTGACTAGCCTGATAACAGCAACTACAGCACTGCAATAAACAAAAACTCGTTGCGGCTACAAGTTGCTGGTTTAACAGATGTTTGGAGTTGTTTTGCACTTATTTGAACGCAAACTCGACACTCAAGTGTTTGCTTCTTCAATGAGGAAGTAGGGTTTTCCAGCACTCTGTGACTGAAGAAATTATTATAGCCCTTTTTGCGCGTTGCTCTTCAAGTTAAGCTTGATAAGTTAATACTACTATGCCTGTCAGAGCTGTTTGCCACTCCCAGCTTTTACTGCTGTCAGGAAGTCACTGATGCCCGCTGCAGTGATCGCCCTTCACTGAGGAAGCAGCAGTCGTTTATGTTCAGTCCATCAAAGAGCACTTGGAGCAGAAGACAGACCATGTGGCTTCAGCAGAGGTTAAAGGGGCTGCCTGGTTTGCTCTCGAGCAGCTGGGCCCGCCGTGTCTTGGTTGGATTACTGCTCTTCCTCATTTTCTACTGGTACTTGAGCTCAGATGGGCTCCTGAGGTTTCTCAGCATGTCCAGGGAGTCTGGAGGAGCTGCGGGGGTTTGTTTGCAGACTGATCTTCACAGGTGGGTGTCGTTGGTGGACCGAGGGGAGGGAGTGGTTCTCACCCCCCAGACCAAAGAAACCGTCCCGTTTGTGGTCGGTAATGGACATTTTCTGGTGGATGTGGACTCTAACAAACTCTGGGTAGCTTCATCTTCACAGCCTGGCTCCGCACCGGTTCACCAAACAGACTATGGACCGATTGTGCGATTGCAGTTGCCGGGATCGCACTCAGAAGCCCGGGGAATGATGCTGTGGTACAGAAAAGGCTCTGTTCTGTCCTCCCGGTGCATCCTGACAGCGTCTTCTCACGACTGCGTCATCATACGAGAGGAGTTTGTTGCGCATCGCAGTCGACCCAATGTTTATCTTCAGAGGATTCACATATCAAACCCTACAGACCGTCCGCTTTCGGTTGACCTGGCCACGGAGTCTCTGTCGTTTAGGAGCACCGTGGAGAAGATGGAGGAAAAGGAGCTTGTGCTCTCCTCAGGCCGGGTGCTCACGGAAAAGAAGGACACTGTGTTGGTGGTGGTGGCCACAAAGAAGCTGAGCACCAAGATCCAGGTTCCTGCCAAATCTGAATACTCAGAAAACCTGGTGAGCGTGATTCACACCTCGGAGCCCACCGAGGGCGGGAAACTGGACGAGACCCTTGGCAAACTGAGAGAAGGAGTCAAGAGAGAGATGGTGGATGTCCTCCGAGCCAATGTGGAAGAATTGATGCAAGAGCACCAGCAAGCATGGGTGGATCTCTTCATATCTGGCAAGTCGACTGAGCACAGTCTGACATAATTGCTATTCAATATATACATTTCAGGTTCATTGTATGCACCTCAACATTTTTTTTACAGTTCTGAATTAAAGGGATAGCTCACCCAAAAGTGAAAATTCTGGAATCATTTACTCATCCTCAAGTTGTTCCAAACCTGTATGAAATTCTTTCTTCTGTTGAACTCAAAAGTGGATATTTTGAAAATGTTGATAACCAAACAGTTGCTGATAGCCATTGACCAAGTCAAGTCAATGGCAACCAGCAAATGTTTTGCTACCAACATTCTTCAAAATATCTTCTTGTGTGTTCAGCAGAGGAGAGAAAGAGAAACTTATATAGTTTGGAATTTTTATTTTTGGGTGAACTATCCCTTTAATTAATATTAGGGGTCATATCATGACAAATCAAATTTTCCTTAATCTTAGAAGTATTCAGTGTGTTATGAAAACAAACAGTACATTAGTTTTAACTCAACCCCCCCCCAGAAAAAAAGACAGAAAGAAATATAAAAAATTGGACAGAAACTGGAAACTGCCACTAGCCAAATACAAGTATTATTGAGTGTAATGTAAAATGGCCTTCTCTACCAGCCACTGCACTCTTAAAAATAAAGGTTCCAAATGGAGGGTTGTGCAGCAATGAACCATAGAAGAACCATTTTCAGTGAACAATTCTTAAAAGACCCATTTTTCTAAACTACATCTACTTTTTCCACTATAAAGAACCTTTTGCACAATGGAAAGGTTCCATGGACATTAAAGGTTCTTTTGGAACAAAAGATGCCAATAAAGAACCTTTATTTTTAAGAGTGTACAAGATCTCAGATTAGCCTTTGTCAGGTAATGCTGCTGATTAGAAACAACAACACACTTCTTGAATAAGCGCCCTTTATTTATATATATATGTGTGTGTATATATATATAATTATATAATTATATATATATAATTTTCACTCAGTTTCTGTACTTTCACTTAAGAATAATATTTGAGTACTTTTAACACGTGTCACTTCACATCCCGATATCAATCACTAAGTTAAGAGGTCTAAATGTATTTATGTATTTTTATGTCATCTGTGGTAGGTGTGGGACCATAAAATGTTCGTTCCAATCATATTTCTCTGTCCAAGGATTACGATAGGCTGTCCTAACTCCCTGTCAACGTATGTATTTGCATATTTGAATACGTCATCAGCGCGTTCATTACGCTATTGCAGACCGAGCGAGAATGGAAGGCGTTATTATTGTAATATTAAGAGCTTTGTACTGTAATGTTTTCTCACCGGTGAATGAGAAATGAGCTAATCTGACAGCGTTGCATTCAATCCTCCATCAGCACCGTCTCTCATCATGTCACTGATTAGCCTCTGCTCTGCCGGTGCGCGGTCATGTGTTTTGCAGGAGGCTTTGGAGAGTGATTTGCAGGGAGGGTGGGATCTTATGCTTTCAGAGTTAGATTTCTATTGCTAGCCTTTCCGAAATTGCCTACCCTACCTTTAAGTATAATGTGACTCCTTTAAGGTTTCTATTCATGTGTTCACTTGCTTTAAGAACCTAAAAGGAAATGTTTCATAGTCTTTTGCTGCTTTACAGGTGTGGAAATCAGAAAGATCACAGACGCCCATACTCCGTCCAGTCGCACAGTCAACAACACGCTCTACTATATTCTGTCGACCTCCACAGCGCCCCTCCTGGATCAGAGTCTCACAGCAGAAGAGCACGAACGCCTGGAGTCCAGTCTGAACTACGCCGACCACTGCTTCAGCGGCCACGCCACCATGCACGCCGAGAACCTGTGGCCGGAGCGCCTGACCAACGTGGCTCAGATCCTGCAGCTGGTGAATCTCTGGAACCTGACCTTCCAGAAAAGAGGATGCAAGGTCCTCGTGGCGGCAGGCACTCACGGTATGATGCAAGGCATGGTCCTGAGTTTCGGCGGTCTGCAGTTCACCGAAAACCACCTTCAGTTCCAAGCCGACCCGGATGTTCTTCACAACAGCTACTCTTTGAGGGGCATCCATTACAATAAAGACCTTATCAACCTGGCCGTGCTGCAGGATGCTGAGGGTAAGCCCTTCCTGCACGTGTCCGTCAAGCCTCAGGAGAAACCCGTGAAGCTGTACGCCTGTGAGGCCGGCTGCATGAACGAGCCCGTGGAGCTGACCTCGGAGCTGCGAGGCCACACGTTTCCGGTGATGGTGACCCAGCCCATCACGCCTCTGCTGTACATCTCCACTGATCTCACTCACCTGCAAGACCTGAGACACACGATCCACGTCAAGGCCATCTTGGCTCACGAGGACCACATGGCCAAGCAGTACCCAGGCCTGCCCTTCCTCTTCTGGTTCAGTGTGGCGTCCCTCATCACGCTTTTCCACCTCTTCCTCTTCAAACTCATCTACAATGAATACTGCGGGCCTGGAGCCAAGCCGCTCTTCAGGAGTAAGGTATAGCCAAAGACACGTGAAGACGAGCCGTTTTTGGGGGGTGGGAACTGTGGTGTGTGTGAATCTGCTCTCCCTCTTTTCCTCTTGCTCTCATTCTGCGCAACTCTCAAATTCTGCCTTGCAAGATATTTTTACCTCTAAAAACTAAGTGACGATAATTGGTTTGGGTAACCCATCAAACTGCTGTAATTGGAGGGTCGGGTTTACTGGAAATAGTTGTCTGCAATCTTCAGTTTGGGTGTTCTTTCTCTATGAACCTCTTGATGAACTGAAAGCACCAGTGCTCTAAAGACACTATTCAGTGAGCTCTGTTTTTTCCTTGCGGTCTGACACAATTAGAACTGATTTGTGTCCAAAAAAGTAAGAAAGAATATTTATTTTGTTTTATATGAAATGCTATTCCGCTTTGCAGAATAACCATTGAAGGACAGTTTTTTTAATGTAATTTATCTCGTGACTTTCAGCAGACTTTCCCATCTTTTATATGTAGTTTTACAGCTCAAGAAAATCGGTTTCGAGTATTTATTTCAATTTTTTTGATGGGATTGTAGCAGGTGAGGAGTCGAATTTTATTTGATCTGAAATTCGTGTGTAAACATTTCACTGGTGCCTTCAAGTCTTTCTTCTTCCAAGTTGGTTTAAGGGGTTTTGTTTCTTTGAAATCTGCTTTCTGCAAAGTCTTTTTTCTTTGTTTTTACAATCTGGGGGTCTTATGCAGGGGTCTTATGTTTCATCTAAATGTGCTTTTTGAACTTTGAATATCTTGTTGTTGGTTTGGTGAGGTGAAATTTGAATTTGAATTTGAACCCAAATGCATCAACTTTTTTTCATTGATCACATTCATCCACCATAAAGTCATTTATGTCAGAAGGTAATGTCAGTACTGATGGTGGTTTTTGGTGACATTCTTGACAGCAGGTAACAAACTGATAGCAGTCATCAAAAACAAGTTCATTTCGCCACAAAATTATAAGAAGAAAATAAGAAATGACATTTTGCTTAAAAATTAAGCCTTTTTAAAGACCATTGGGAAACCTTTACAATATAATTATTTTAATTGTATTAGAAATTTAAATGTATTGTATTACAGTATTTTTCTTTACGGCAATGCCGTAAAAGATATACAGCACTGAGAATCTAATAAAAATCAAAACTGACAATAATAGGAATTTCACAAAAAGGCTTCATTTCATGTGCAAAATGTTTATTTTTATAAATATAAATGTGCCCAGACGTTTTTTTTAAACAGGTTTAGGTGTTGATATATGAAAGGACATGCGTATATCAGATTTAATCATCTGAATGAATCATGTCGGTTCACTGTTTAGAGCACAAAATGAGACGGGACAGTTGAAAAGGCACTACTTGCTTATTATTGAACATGTATCACTCTTGTAATGTTTAAGTTGGTAAATACAGTTTCACATGATCTGATGTGTATTCATATCACTTCTGCATATGCACTAATACCACTACTACTCCGTTAGACCTCTGCCATCAGTTATGAATACCTAAGTTACACCAGCTCACAGAAAAAGCTCCATTTATTATTTACATGTTATTGTTAATGTGAAGATTCTGCATTGTTTGCCGTGTGGGTCTCAAAAGTTCCTTCCCGTGTTGGAGTGATCAAAAGTTATCTTTTTTTTTCAGTTTTGTATTTGTTTGAATTCTGATGTGTTTTTATTAAATTAACAAAACAAGAGTTAGACAACATGCTGTTATTGTGATGTTCATTCACAATGATTTAAAAAGATTGACAATCTGGGGTCATACGGTAAAACCTGTCAAGTAGCATTAGTGATGTGAAATGAGTACATCATATGAGTTGCCTTAAAATGTGTCTCCTAAGGTGTCTTTACACTGCCAAGTTAAGGCTGCTCTGTGCCTGCACAAATTTTGTGTAAAGGTGCAATGCCCTGCAATTAAGCCTGCTCTGACCCTCCTCAGCCCATAGCATCACAGCATACAGTTGAAATTGCTGTGGAGCTCTGAGCAGCATTAAACAGTCTGTGTAAAGACACCTAAATGCCACTTCAGAAGCACTTCTGTGCCACCTTTGCGGTGTAAATTTGTCACTAGCGTGTGTAACAGGCTTGCTTATGGTATTTTTTTTAATTAGTGGATGCAATAAATTGTTTTAGCTTTGAAATGGCAACTCAAATGAGTAACATCATTTCCCAAAGAGAGTAAGAGTAAACATAATTTTACTTCATTTTTGATTCAACTTAGTCATAGCTGGAATTCACACATCGGACACAGATGGCGTCAATCCTAATGCCTTCGTTCTGTTAATTTGTCAACACTTTACAATTAGCTTGGACTCATACTGAGGGCAAATAAGGAAACCGATGCACTGGATGGAGTAAATTCAACAGGTGAAAAATGTGCTAAATTCCATGAAATAATAAATAATTGTAATAAATCCTTTTTTTCCATCAAATTCCATTTTTTGCACAAAGAAAATGTAACACATCAAATGTTTTTCCCCCATCATAAATATGCATATTTACACTTTATTTGTTATTTCAACAGGATGATGTTACTGTCTGAAGCCTAATCCAGAGTGCAGAGACATTAAATATGGCTCTATCTCTGGATGTCCTCTCAGGATTGATTTTAATCACTGGAGACATACCAATGTATTTAATACATGTTTTCCATTTTGCTGTGTGAATTTAATTATGAACGTTATCTGAATTAACTTTATCTGATTTTGGTTGAGGATTATGTAAGTTAAAATATGAAGACTCTTTAAAGGTGCCCCGTTTATGTGCAAATTGGTGATAAAATATCAACAATTACAAAGGATCCAAACAAGACCTGTATTAATTTATTATTTTAGCTTATAAACGAGCATAATAATACAATCTTAATAGAAACAAAATCAAATATGCAGCTCCTAAGCACTGATTTTATGTGAATGAAAAAAAATCTTATAAAATCGCAATGAAATGGAAGTAGCGACAGAGCTTGTGACGGACATCTGAGTGTAACAGATTATTGAGAACAAAAAAACAATGTAAGGCGTGAATTGGTGATTGGGTATAAATGAGTGGAGAAGTCTGGCAGAAGTCACCTTATTTTTACTGCAAGAATGAGTTGTGACATTTTGATTATGAGGTCCAAAAAAAAAAAAATCAAAGATACATGGATGATGGAAAAAAAAGCTGTATGAGAGAACTTCAAATGGAGGAACACATGTAATGTTTTCATTTCCATGGGAATATGTAACTTTGATTGAAAAAAAACTATAGCTTTCAAAAAATTGATTTGACGCCAATATGTAAAAGTGCTGATTGTACACAGGTTGTAAAAAAGGTTATTTTCCAATGATTACAAAAGTGCACAGACATTGTAAAGGTTGTAGGAGTCAACCGTTTTTATACTCTAGGGTTGCTGGAGCTCCAGATAAGATTTTACATGCAAAAGAAAAAAAAAAAATTATTTCTCGAAGACAGTTAGCACAGGTGTGATGTAGTAAGTAGAAGACCTTACTTCATCTTTGTCAACGCTTCCTTCATCATCATCTTCATCACTGGAATGAGGACAGTCCTCCACAGGATTGTCTACATCACCTACCTGGACAAGCGTTTCTTATCTTACCCTGTAGGAGCTAAAATGTGATTATTTCACCACTAGAGGGCGATGTGCACTGTGGTGAGTAGATGTAGCTCAACTGTTCAACATCACATATTAACCTTACCTTGAGGATGTATTGAACAGGTACGGGGGAACATATGGTTCTTAGCTCCACATGCTTTTATTGTAAATGTTGTTTGTTCATTAAATTAACCAGTCAAGAAACGGACATCGCTTTGTGGACATTGTTTATTCCAACCTGAGTCAACAACAATTACCACCCTGCCATGGCTTATAGCAGGGATCCTCAAATCTGGCCCACGGGATCCACTTTCCTGCACAGTTTAGCTCTAACCCTAATCAAACACACCTGAGCATGCTAATCAATGTCTTCAGGATCATTAGAAAATCACAGGTAGGTGAGTTTGATCAGGGTTGGAGCTAAACTCTGTAGGGCATTGGCCCTCCAGGGCAAGATTTGAGGAACCCTGGCTTATAGGAAAGCCACTTCATACCCATTACCTCTTTATTTGGCTTCTGCAAAAGCAGAAACCCACATGTAAAAACTGATAATGAATGAATTTTCTGTTTACAGTGTTTACTTCTGATTTATCATTCAGAAGTAGAAGAATCCTTATGAACATTAGTAATAGAAATAGTTCACTCAAAAACTGTAAAAATGCTACCGTAAAATGGGTTAATAATAATATTAAGAGGCACACCGACTGGCAAACTAATGTTTTAATTGGGAAAATTATTTAGAGATGCCATTATTTCTGGCATGGATGGACAAAAACTTTTAAATTAGCCTAGGGTGGCGCTAGGGCGGGCCTTTTCACTCTGTATGTCACTTTAATTGTAAACAATAATAATAATAAAAACATTAAAACCTACAAAATATTAATATGATTAAACATGTAGCCTAATGCCTATATTTAATGTTTCTAGGCTATATGTATAAACAGTTGTGTTACTGGGGGAGGAGTCAATTAGCCTACGCTCAGGTACTGCGCGAATTAGCGAAGAGCGCAGTCATAATGGAAAGCTATTTGATTTCAAACACTGCGTCCCAGTTCACATACTATCTGTCCTAAATAATATTCAAAATTAGTATTAGTGTCACAAATCTTAGTATATTGAAATGAGGATCCCAAAGGTACCCAGATGGCTCTGATGGAAATTCGAAATGCAGATCCGTGCACAATCTAACGGCTAATGTTGCCCACAACCCATTGCGTAGTTGGATGTGGATTCGATTACAACTACAAGTGTGCTGCACAAGTCCTGAAAAGTGAAGCTAAAAGGTTTCGATCGCCCCAAGGTGGCTGGACCCAGTATAGGTCATAAACCCCGCCCTCTCCATGTAATCTAATGGGATGTGAGACAAACTAAATAATTAAATTACACTTCAAATCATTTTTTTCAAAAGATGGTTTTTGTCATTTTATGACGTTTTTATCACGCTGATGTAAGTTCAAGTGTCTGTTTTTTAAAATAAGTTTGGTTTGGTAAGACGCAGCCAACAAATGCACTGAGCAGCACTGTCATCGGAAATCACCCTTAACAGATGAAAGGATAGTATGACAAAGATATCGCTTTCCTCAGCGAACATTCAAACTAATGTTTTATATATGAGATTGATCTGAAGAATGAATGCTGTATCAGATGCAGGTAATCACACTCGCTCAGTCCATCTCTCTCTCATAATACTCTACATAATACACAGCTTTAATACAGTAAGACAACAAGCTTTTAATGCAAAACAAAAGCTTTTAAGCAACTCAACGTTCCTTCGTTACTAGTCCTAAAGTGACGTTTTCGAATTAGTAACGGATCTTGAGCTCAGCTGTTAAACTGTCAAACTGAGATTTGAATCTGTGGCGAAAGGAAGTAGTTCTGCACAAAAGAGGGTTTTTAAAGACACTCCATTGTTGTTTCTTATGTATTTACCCACTCGTGCCGTCAAACTGTTGTATAAATGCAATATCACACTCGTAGCAGTGCGATATTGGTGTATATCAGCACGGCTGTGATTATCTACTGCTGAATCACAGCCGTGCTGATATACAGCCATGTTGCACTGCTACTGGTGTGATATTGCTCATAAATATATATAAACATATATATATATACAGTCATGGCCAAACGTTTTGGCAGTGACATCAATTTTGTGTTTTGCTAAGTTTGCTGCTTAAGCGGTTGTGGTGTTCATTCACATTGTTTCTAGATTATTGTGTAGAGTGATTTTAAATAATTGCTAAAAGCTTCATTGGCCAAAAAATGAACTTTTCACAGAAAAACTAATTTCAATGTTTTTTGATCCTGACACAAAATGACCAGCTAACATTAATTGACTAATCATATCGGCAGCACATGTGAAAGTGTGAATGATTACTAGTCAGGTTAATCACGATTTCAATCAATGTGTTCTTGTTAGCAATGGTTACCTCCAAAGAAACACGTGCAGCCATCATCGCTTTGCATCAAAATGGCCTCGCATGCAAGGAAATTGCTACAAAGAATAATGCACCTGAAAGAACCATTTATTGGATCATCAAGAACTTCAAGGAGAGAGGTTCGACTGCAGCGAAGAAGTCTTCAGGACGTCCCAGTGTCCAACAAGCGCCAGGACCGTCTCCTTCTGAGAAGTCAGCTACAGAATCGTGTCACCACCAGTGCAGAGCTTGCTCAGGAATGGCAGCAGGTTGGTGTGAGAGCATCTGCACGCAAGTGAGGTGAAGACTTTTGAACAACAGCCTGGTGTCAAGAAGGGCAGCAAAGAAGCCACTTCTCTCCAAGAAAAACGTCAAGGACAGACTGAAATTCTGCAGGAAGTACAAGGATTGGACAGCAGGTGCAGACTGGTGCAAAGTTATTTTCTCTGATGAAGCTCCCTTCAGACTGTTTGTGCGAAGATCTGTTCATTTTCCAGCATGATGGAGCACCATGTCACAAAGCAAGAGTGATGAAGTAGCTTTTGGTTGTTATTTTGGCCAGGCTCTCTCCTGAAGACATTTATTACTTCCACAATTCTGGCTTTCCTAAATAAAGTAAGTTTGCCAAACTAGGTGGTTTTGTTTGCATTTTTCTGGAGCAGAGGACTGGAGTGATTCCTCCACGTTTTATTGATTTCTTCCGTATAAGTTTTAGTTAACCTGTTACGCCCACTCCCCAACCCTAGACTGGGAAAGGGATCGTAACAAGTGGGGGCTCGTCCGTTCGTCTCTTAATTGGTTGTTGGTAAGTACTCTTTTCTTTCAAATTGTTTGACTGTTTTCGACTGTAGGTGGGGAGGAAAGTGTTGCAGGCATACGGATAATGGAGTTTGACTTTACAGAATTTACTCTTTGTCCTACAATTGAAGCCTTTAATCGTTGTAAGAAAAAAGATCTTATTTTGGTGGCAGAGTTCTTCCGTATTGACGTTCGAAAAGATGTTATAAAACAAGTGCTTAAGGAGAACCTGTTTGGGAAATTAGTAGATGCGGGTATTTTACCATAAGAGTCTGAAGGTGGCGTTGAAGTTCAGTCTGAAGTGGCAGTGGAAACTGCAGCTGAAAATGTGAATATCAGCTCTGTTGTGCCTCATGATCCGAGGATTGCCTTAAAGTTGAAGGAAATTGATCTTTTTATTAAAAAATAGGAGTGTGAGGCAGAAATGATTAGGCTTCGTGTAGTAGAGACACAGGCTGACCGAGATATCCAATTACGTAAATTGGATCTCAAATCGAGGCGGTTGGCTCAAAGGCCAGTTCCATCACCCCGTGCTAGGCCCCCATCAGTCTCATCACCTTTACCATCTGCTGGTAGTAGAGACACGCAAGATTTTTCTCATTCGCCCTCCAGTGTTAGTTTTGATGTTAGTAGGTATATTAGACTTGTGCCCCCATTCAGAGAGAAAGAAGTCGACTCCTACTTTGTTGCATTTGAGCGTGTCGCTGGTAAGTTAAGGTGGCCAAAAGATACGTGGGCTCTGTTACTCCACTGTAGCCTTACAGGGAAAGCACAGGAAGTTTGTTCTGCCCTTCCGATAGAAAGCTCTCTTGACTATGACATTGTTAAATCTGCAGACAAGTATGAACTTGTCCCTGAGGCCTATAGACAGAGATTCCGCACTCATTCGAAAACAGTCAACCAAACTTATGTCGAATTTGTAAGAGAGAAGAGGGTTCTTTTTGAAAAGTGGTGCCTAGCTAGCAAGGTTACTTCCCGCATTTTGACAAGAGGGCTGTATATAGAGACTTTCGCCCTGGCGATCCCATGTTGGTTCTACTTCCAAACCCCGGTTCTATTTCACATGCAAAATTCTCTGGGCCATACCTGGTTGAAAGGAAGTTAAATGAGACCAACTTTCTTATTGCTACTCCTGACAGGAAATGTAAGAGCCAAGTGTGTCATGTAAATAGGCTTAAAAGCTATGTAGACAGACCTCACTCTGAAGTGACTGCAGAACAGAGTGTTCTCCGTTGCCTGCCTCTATTGCCACTATGGGTGTAGTGGCAAATTACTCCTTAGAGGAGGATGGCTTGATGAACAGTGATGTTCCAGTTTCCACTACTCGTCTGAAGAATTCTGCTGTTCTGCAAAATCTTTCACATTTCCTTTCTCATCTGACTGATGAACAGTCTAAGGACGTAATTGAATTACTGTATGCCTTTCCTACACTGTTTAGGGACGTGCCAGGTAGAACTACTGTGTGTGTTCACGACATTGATGTTGGTGATGCTGCCCCCATAAAACAACATCCTTACAGAGTTAATCCACAGAAACGTGTGGTCATGCAGACAGAAGTTGAGTATATGCTGCATCATGGAATTGCTACGCCCAGCCAGAGCCCGTGGAGCTCCCCCTGCTTGCTTGTTCCAAAGCCTGATAATAACTTCCGGTTTTGCACTGATTATCGG